AAACATTCAGCAATCAAAATGTAGATTAGTGAAAAACTGTCTTTTGAATCATTTGATATAGAGAGATTTGGTCTATTAATGGCTGCAATTGTTGACTTACTCGCGATTTTCTACAAATTTCGGCGATTTTTCAAATTTAAATATTTCAATTTACTCTCCGAGTCATTTCACAAGTTGGTGTTTTTTGCCAATTTATTCACAAAAAAGCAGATTTATTAGAAAAAAGCTTCATACAGCATTAAAGGGAGAAACTTCAGTTTTGTTAAACCTGCGAGTTTCGGTTGCGTCATAATTTTCCTCAATTTTTATTGTATTTCAAATCGGATGTTCTCGGCCTATTCAGCGTCTTAGGAGTTCTTTGAAAAAATAATTAAATCAAAATGGGCTCAAACTAGAAGCTAATTTTTAGACCATTAGAAAGGGAATTATTAGTTTTATTAAACCTGCGAGTTTCGATTATCTCGCAAGTTTACCCGATTTTTGCCAATTTTATATCATATATATCAGTTCCCGTCGCATTGTGCATGTTACAAGGTTTTCAATTAATAATTTAGAGAAATGGGGATCACTTAGGATGCTGCTTTTTAGATCACTACATAGAAATATTTTGGTTTTTTCAGGTCAGTGAGTTTCGAATTTTTCTCGATTTTCCTCGATTTTTGAAAATATTTCAAATTCGGGTGTCGCACTTCACTTCCAGTCGCATTCTGCATACAGCAAGGTTTTGAAAAAAATCTTTTAAAATAATGGAACCAGTCAGGGTGCGACTTTTTAGATGATTCGATAGACATATTTTCGTTTTAACAGGTCAGCGAGTATTTCATTTCTCTTGATTTTCCTCGATTTTTGACAACATTTTAAGTTCGGGTGTCGCAGTTTACTTCCCGTTGCATACCGCACGCTAGACGTTCTTTCAAAAAATCATCAATCAAAATGGGGACTAGTTAGAAGGTTGATCTTCCCACCATTAGATAGAGAAGGTTTCATTTAATCAGATCTGTGAGTTTCGACTTACTGGCGCACTTCCTCGATTTTTGACAATTTTTTTAAATTCTTATGACGCGCATTTGTTCCTGTTACATTCCGCATTTAATATACTTAAGCATTGCGCAATGCTTAAGCATTGTTTCAAAAATATATTAATCAAAATGGCGAATAATTGTATTTATGGAGATTGTAGTTGGTATATACATCTTTCTAAATATAAATTTTCGATTTATTAAATCAGCGAGTTTCGTTTTTTCGTCCAAATTCCAAAAAATCTTGAATCAAAATGGCAAATTGTCAGACGATTGTGTTTTAGATCCTTGGATAAAGAAACTTTCGCTTTATCAGACGCCTCAATTTCGATTTTCTCATTTTTTGTCTCGATTTTGGACTTTTTTTAAGTTTGGATGTAGCATAAATTCGAAGTATTTTCACCAAGCGTCTCACAAACATTTATTAATTCAAATTAATAAATTCGTATAACTGAAAGCTAGGCCACAACATAAGATGGAAGCACAAACTAATGAAAAGTTGCCACTAATTAATTTTCATTCAATTTAGAGGCATTTTTTTTAAATATCGGCAGTTCTACTTGTGGGCAGCAGTGACTAATATTGGTTTATTCATTAAGTACCAGCTTTATTATCTTTGTAAAATGCGAAGTCAAGGGCACAGCTCAAATTATTATTTAAAGTAATGGGAGGTTCTATGCAAAGAAAACATTGAATTACATTGAAAATCAATAAATAGATATCAATATCAGTAATGTTGCCATTTTGATAGGTTCTCCAATCTATTAAGTGGCTCGTTTTCCCAAAAGAAATTTTTCTCGTGCGGTTCATCCAGTGTGAATTAAAAAAATACAGACTAAGATTCTTTTAATTTCAGAGTTAACGAAAGATCAATTCACGCTTGACTACGAATAATTAAAATACGCTCATAGTGACTGTTTATTGGAGAATCACTCGCGGATGACACTTAATTCATCGTCAGGTTTTCACCGATCGTATTTCGTGCTGAATGTGCAACTATCGAATCACAACATTAATGGGCTATTTTGCGTAAATTCCAGTCTGTTAAGTGCACCTGCAGTTATGGCTCTCTTCAAGGTAAAAACTAGTTTAGATACTAAACTAAGTAGTTAGAAAAGACGTAAATTGCAAGGTCTTGGTTAAATGTTCACTATCTAGGATAGAATGTCACAATTTCAGGATCAGTCCTGGTATCTCGCATTTAAATGACGCGCCCAGGTTAGTTTCTATAGAAACCGCTTTGTTGACTGGGAGGAGACACGCAGCTATTGGTTAAGCAGCGTGGGAATCCGGATTGTTGTGTTACGGGGTGCGATTAAAAGTTTTCCACAATGCACATTTACAGATAACAAAGTCATTTTTATGATAATTGAATTAAAAACGAAAACTGCCAGTTACGCACTCATTAGTCGTCAGGCGTTGATAGCGAGCGACTCCATGCATTACCACATGTATCGCAAACAATGACTATTTTTAACTCCAGTTAATTTAGGTCCAGGAAACACACCAGTTACATGTAGGCCACCGTTCGAAAACCTGCCTGGCCTCTAACTCTATAGAAAACGCTCACATAGATAAAACACTCAGCGCAATTAAGTGATTGTTTATAACAACAGTGTGCGGTTTTAATCAATTTTGGCTAATTAAAAATGTCCGACGAAAACCGATGCCAAGTTTGCCAAAGTGCAGCTTCGCAGAAGTGCTCTGGATGCCACACAGTCTTCTACTGTTCTCGAGAGCATCAAAGGGCCGACTGGAAGAAACACAAGAAGATGTGCAAACCGTATAAGGTAATTTTTCCAGTGGATGCAATAGAATTGAAGTGAATGCTCTCTAATTAGGCCTATCTGGAAAATATTTTTTCCTGATGTACCTTGTACGTTTTTTATACTGGGTGTAAAAATATCAGCATTCATGTGTACAAGCTGATCGGTCGCTGACGAAATCAAACAGAAAAATTAGTTGGAAACTTAACTATTTTCCTGAATTCAGTTGAGTTTCTATATACTTATTAGCTTTGTGATGGTTAAAAATCTGGCTGCTACTTTTTGGCCAAAATGGACAAAACTGCTGCATTGTTGGCACTGTAAAAGTGCAATCCGTCAACTATACATCAGGATGTTTAAACAAGTAGTGGCAATATTTAAGGACGTGATTTCTTAGGTCATTTTATGAGAAAACGGTCCCACAGACATGTTCTTTAACGGTATTTTCGCAGATTTGCCACGACGAAGCCTTGGGACGTTTCCTCATAGCAACGAAAGACATCAGCGTAGGCGACATTGTACTCCAAGAGCCTCCTCTGATCCGGGGGCCCTCACAAGTGACAATGCCAGTTTGCTTGGGCTGCGGCAATGCGATGGATGAGAAAAACTTCAAACCTTGCGCCAAATGCGGCTGGCCAGTGTGCAGCTCAACTTGCGAAAAGTCCCCAAATCATATTCCCGAATGCCAGTACACTTCATCCAGAGGCTCCAAGGTGATTCTATCCTGAGCTAAAAGACTCTCTCCAACCAGTTGAACGGATTTTAGATTACAATTTCGACGTTCGGATCGATTCATCCATCGTATCAATGCGTCACGGTGTTGAGGTGCTTGTATCAGAAGCAGTTTCTATCCGAGACGTGGAAGAAGATTGATTTGCTCCAGTCGCACTGTGCAGAGAGGAAATTGACGTCCAAGTACGAGAAGGATCGTGTGTCGATAGCGCAGTTTATTTTGAACTTTTTCAAATTGAGGCAAGTTTTCACGGAGGAGGAGATATTGAGGGTGTGCGGCATACTGATGGTAAGAGGTCTACAGCAAAAGGGCCAAAATAATGAGCTGCTATTGGCAATTTTCTTTGCGCATAACAGGAATGTGTTTAATTTATTGTCTTTTATGTTCCCAAACCAAATAATGTGTACAGAGTGTTTCCTCTTAGGTTGACGGATTTAAAGACCGTTCGTTTCAAAAATTCTGGAGTCATAAATGCTAAGGTTGTTCATTGTTCTGCGAAACTAATTCTAACTTTAAAATATCAGCAATTAAGGTCTAAATCAATTTTACCAGAGCAGAATTTTCGTTAAAAATTCTCATAAAACTTAATATACTTAACTAATAACCGTACAAAATTTTATGCAAATTAAACGAAAGGTTTGAAATTTGTCTAAAATAACTATTTTTTCCAAACTTTGATCTTAATTATCTCTGAAACTAGTGGGTTTTTCGGGTTTTTAGGCCGTCGTACAATAGAATTTCTTCCTGATGTTTCGCAAGCACGAGTGGCTTGCATCTTCAGAGGAGGTGTGCTTGAACGCTTACACTGTGCACGCAACGCGCAATAGATTGGAGGATTTCAATGTAATTCAATGTTTTCTTTGCATAGAAAATCCCATTGCTTTAAATAATAATTTGAGCTGTGCCCTTGACTTCGCATTTTACAAAGATAATAAAGCTGGTACTTAATGAATAAACCAATATTAGTCACTGTTGCCCACAAGTAGAACTGCCGATATTTAAAAAAAACGCCTCTAAATTGAATAAAAATTAATTACTGGCAACTTTTCATTAATTTGTGCGTCCATCTTATGTTGTGGCCTAGCTTTCAGTTATCCTAATTTATTAATTTGAATTAATAAATGTTTGTCAGACGCTTGGTGAAAATACTTTGAATTTATGCTACATCCAAACTTAAAAAAATGTCCAAAATCGAGACGAAAAGTGAGAAAATCGAAATTGAGACGTCTGATAAAGCGAAAGTTTCTTTATCCAAGGATCTAAAACACAATCGTCTGACAATTTCCCATTTCGATTCAAGATTTTTTGGAATTTGGACGAAAAATCGAAGCTCGCTGATTTAATAAATCGAAAATTTATATTTAGAAAGATGTATATACCAACTACAATCTCCATACATACAATTATTCGCCATTTTGATTAATATATTTTTGAAACAATGCTTAAGCATATTAAATGCGGAATGTAACAGGAACAAATGAGCGTCATAAGAATTTAAAAAAATTGTCAAAAATCGAGGAAGTGCGCCAGTAAATCGAAACTCACAGATCTGATTAAATGAAACCTTCTCTATCTAATGGTGGGAAGATCAACCTTCTAACTAGTTCCCATTTTGATTGATGATTTTTTGAAAGAACGTCTAGCGTGTGGTATGCAACGGGAAGTAAACTGCGACATCCGAACTTAAATTGTTGTCAAAAATCGAGGAAAATCAAGAGAAATTCAATGCTCGCTGACCTGATAAAACGAAAATATGTCTATCTAATCATCTAAAAAGTCGCACCCTAACTGGTTCCATTTTTTTTAAAGATTTTTTCAAAACATTGCAATATGCAGAATGCGACTGGAAGTGAAGTGCAACACCCGAATTTAAAATATTTTCAAAAATCGAGAAAAATCGAGAGAAATTCGAAACTCACTGACCTGAAAAAACGGAAATATTTCTATTTAGTGATCTAAAAAGCAGCATCCTAAGTGATCCCCATTTTTCTATATTATTAATTGAAAACCTTGTAACATGCACAATGCGACGGGAACTTATATATATGATATAAAATTGGCAAAAATCGGGTAAACTTGCGAAATAATCGAAACTCACAGGTTTAATAAAACAGATAATTCCCTTTCTAATGGTCTAAAAATTAGCTTCTAGTTTGAGCCCATTTTGATTTAATTATTTTTTCAAAGAACTCCTAAAATGCTGAATAGGCCGGGAACATCCGATTTGAAATAAAATAAAAAATCGAGGAAAATTATGACGAAACCGAAACTCGCAGGTTTAATCAAACTGAAGTTTCTCCATTTAATGCTGTATGAAGMTTTTTYCTAATAAATCCGCTTTTCTGTGAATAAATTGGCAAAAAACACCAACTTGTGAAATGACWCGGAGAGTAAATTGAAATATTTAAATTTGAAAAATCGSCGAAATTTGTAGAAAATCGCGAGTAAGTCAACAATTGCAGCCATTAATAGACCAAATCTCTCTATATCAAATGATTCAAAAGACAGTTTTTCACTAATCTACATTTTGATTGCTGAATGTTT